ATACCGAACCAGGGAGGACAAAAAGGGGGAAGACAAAAGGTGTTGAGCAAAAAAAAAAGGACCCCGAAAGTTATTAAGAAAAAAAAAACCCAAAAACAACCCAGCATTAAAATAGCATGACCCCTTTAAGTGCGAGAGGGGTGAGGTTGAGCACTAAGACCCACGGAAGGCATTGGTTCCCCTTGCTTCAGGTCTTTTTGCTGGTGGCCATCTTGTTTTCTTGATTGAGAAGAGGTAAGCAAAGGGGGCGTAGGTCTGGGGAAAAGGGGTTAGGCCCAGTTGCCGAGTATGTCATAGGGTTGCCAGGTGTCCGGTATTTCTGCCTCCTGGCAGGGGAAAAAAACAGAAAATACTGAACATTTTAGGTGTCCAGTGTTTTCTGAATTTTTTTACTGGACAGAAGGAGAAAATACTGGACTGTCCGGGTTAATACTGGACACCTGGCAACCCTACCTCTGCATGACTGACATGCAGCAACTAGAATCCAGACGAGACAGACCTGGCCTGGGCAACAGGGGAAGTTTGTCTGCCTTGATCAGGATTGGTGAGGCTCGTACTGTATGCTTAGTATGTGTATTCTGCTTGCTTGGTAATTTTTAATAACTAGAGAGTAAGGCTATTCCTGTGTATGTCTCTTTCACTGATAAAAGGCCCTGCAAACCTGCAGGAAGTTGTGCCCTGAGACCTAGGATTTGGGTAATGGTGGGCATTTAAATGTATAGGGTTACACTGTCAGCCCTAGGAACTGGGTAAAAATGTGTGCCCCTAGGCTATGCCTACACTGCAGGTTTCTTGCGCAAGAACAGCTTGCAGCACGTCTACACTGCTCATGTGTTCTTGCACAAGTAAATTTACAGTAAAGCATCCGAAGAGAGGGTTTTTTGCGCAAGTTATTCCTCTCCCCATGAGGAAAAAGCCCTTTTGCACAAGAGCTCTTGCGCAAGAAGACAGCGTGGACGGGCAACAGAGCTTTCTTGCACAAGAGAGCTTCCCCACTGCCATTGAGGCTCTTGTGTAAAAGCACATGGCAGCGTGGATGCACTCTGGCGCAAAACATTTCAACAACCAGCATTGTTGTGGCCTTTTAGAGCTGCTTTTCTCTCGATATGTTGTAGTCCTCCAACATGACCCTGTCACACCATACTCTAGGGCTGTGTCTAGACCGGCAAGTTTTTCCACAAAAGCAGCTACTTTTCTGGAAAAACTTGCCAGCTGTCTACACTGGCTGCTTGAATTTCCGCAAGAACACTGACTTCCTACTGTCTGAAATCAGTGCTTCTTGCGGAAATACTATGCTGCTCCCATTCGGGCAAAAGTCCCTTTTGTGCAAAGCTTTTGCGCAAAAGGGCCAGTGTAGACAGCTCAGATTTGTTTTGCGCAAAAAAGCCCCGATCGCGAAAATGGCGATCAGTG